TCTCGGGACTTGCCCAGCCCTCAACCCAGCCATCCGAAAAGAAACGACGCAAGGACACTGATGCAATTTCCCTTCGATCCCGCTCTCCTGTAATTGGCCCAACCTTCCCATCTTAGGACCCCTCATTATCATCGCGCAGAAAATCGCGCAGAACAGAAATTGGTTCGTCACATAGCGGCATTCACAATGATGTAGGATGGCGAGTCGTGCAGAGTCGTGCAACTAGGCCTAAAAAATAAGTGTAAGCGGGTATAAGCGGGTATAGGGCGTCGTGGTCGCTAACACGACACCGACCGGTCGTCTCGTGAGCCAACGTGGTGGCGGTCGCGGGGACGGTGATGCGGTCCTTGGACGAATTGCGGGCTGCACCCGGTTTCCAGTTCGGGAAGTTAGGAACCGGTTATCCAACCGTTCGTTACATTGGGAGACATTGGGGGATCGACGGAGGTGGTGCTACTCTCCGACTCTGGAAAATGAGTCTGACTGCATCCTTCTTTAAGGGGGGGGGGGAAGAAAAAAAAAAAAAAATCCTTCTTTAGAACATGGAAAGATACAGTGTTCAGTCTCACTTCGGGCGCACGTGTGGGGGGGGGGTTGGCGCTGCAAAAAAAAAAACATCCGGGCCCCGTTCTCCACGGAGATCAACCGGTCTTTTTTTTTGTTTTTGTCATGGATGTATCTGACTGCAATTACGTCCAGACCTGAACGCACCTGACAGCAATCCGGTCCAGAGCTGAGTCCAGACAGTCCTGGTATGAGTATGCCCTAACACGGTCGAAGTACCTGAACTGAGTCAAGATCAGACTGTCCATATATAGCGCAGATGGACGGCCGGTGTCTGTTATCTTAGGTATTCGGTTGCCTACTCACCAAACTCACCAGAAGTGCAAAATCACAATGAATCTTCTGCTAGAACATGGGAAGATACACGGCCATATTTGTCTTTTGTCCATGTGGTGAGTAGAGGATTGAGGCCCACGGACTGCAGGCCATCAACTCTCGTTTGATTCATTTCTCGAAGGTTCCAGTGCTGAGGTCCCTAGTTGCACGGATTAAGGGCCTCGCTGAATGAATCACGCACAAGAACATGGGAAGATACACCGCGATAAGTTTTGCGTTTTGTGCAAGTGGTGAGTGGTGGAGCAAGGGAGGGCCTGAACCATGATCTATTTTTCCCACAAACAATCATACGCAGTCTGTGCCCTAATCCCCTTACCTCTGGAAACTTGTCCGTGCCTATGAATCGATCGTCATGCCATGATTGCAATGGTGGAAAGGGACTACCCACCTACTCCGGATCCCCACACTTCCACCTCAATATGGCAAAGGACAACCCTCCAAGCTACTCTTCGCCGTGCCATGGCGGTAAGTTACCTCCAATGACACATTTACCTTGCAGTGAATTGAACTGACGAGCTTCGGGTGAGTTATCTAACAAAAATGCGGCGAAGCTCTCGTGGGCTGGTCGCCCGTCCGCCGCCATCCTGGCTGCGCCCCCACGCCCGAGCGTGGTATCAGTGTGGAAACTTGTGTATGTAGCCCGTAGGCCATGTATAATTCGCAAGCTATGTATATGCCCGAAGGCTGTGTGTGCTCTGTGAATCAGTGTATCGAGATGTATAAGCAGCATCAATATACATCATTTGTGTATATCGAAGATAGAACGGAGTTAGCTGGATAAGGACCCCCCCAAGGTCCGAACCAAGCTCGAACCCGTGACCTTGTAATGTGTAATCGAACGACTAGTGGAAATGGCACTAACACGTGATATGCCAGACTGGGGAGATCAACAGAACACCCGAGACCAACACCCCCAAGCAACCCACGTGAAACCCAGAACCAACATCCAACACCGTGAACGAGTGTCTGTAATAGCTGGGTGTGTGGCAACCCACGTGAAACCCATAACCAACTTACAACACCATGAACAAGTGTCTGTAATAGCTAACGTATCATCCCAGTGCCGTGTGTCATTCTAGCGCCCTACCGGTGTCCATGTGCAAGGCTACGGATTTGAACCCACAACCTCATACCACAATGCACATTTCCAACCGGTGCTCTAATCACTGAGTTACATCAACTGGACAGATAGAGAGCACTCCTTCCTTAGGTTCGTTTGGACAGGTGGTTTGATTTAGAATTTCTGTTCACAAATATATATATATTCTGTTCACTGCATCTGATCCCATCTGGATTCGAACTCCAGGCTGCATTTCACCAACGCATTATTTAGTGTACTCACCCGCTGGCGTGTCGATGACTCTGGCCAGACGATGTGCATGTGCATGACAGCCCCTCGGACGTGCGCACACGAGGGCAAGGGAGCATATATAAATAAATTGGATCCAGACTTCAAGCCTTGCTTGCGTGTGGAGTTTCTGGCATGGATTTGGCCGTAACACCGCCCGCATACGTTGACGACGACGAATATCCCTGCAAGTTGTGAGTACGCCCTCACTTGCTTCGTTTATGTGGTTAAATTAAACTTTAGGGCTCGAACTTTCGAGGTCAAATAGCTTGTCTAGTCACACACCTCTCGAACTTTCGAGGTCAAATAGCTTGGCTAGTCACACACCTCGAACCGGAAGGCTTGCTTGCATGTGGAATTTCTTGCGTGGATTTGGCCGTAACACCACCCAGATACAGTGACGAATATCCCTGACGGATCTCTCTCTACCAGTTGTGACTATGCCCAGGTCAACGACAACCTTGTCTAGTCAAACCTCGAACCGGAGGTCAAATAGCTTGCCTAATGTAGTCAAACTTCGCACCGGAGCGGTGGAGAGGTCGATTTTTCGATTTCTTCACGCCCTCTTCGCGCAGGGCCTAATAAGTTTTTTTTTTTTTTTTTTTTTTTTTTTTTTTAAGCTATGTTCTTCTCTGAATCTGAATTTCACCTCACAACCCCGTAGCAGCCAGAACCGTGTTCACGAGAGAACATGCAGGGCCTAATTGCTCAAAACTAGTGTCGTTTCGTTTGTCGTCGGCCCTGGCCTCCGAATTTTCAGGATACCCAGTTTTCCCTATTTTCCCACGCGGGAAAGGTACTAGTGGTTTAAAAAAGAAAAGTAAAAATAGAAAAAAAAAAAAACAAACTATTTAGAGTCAGACTTAGACCGGCAGCGGTCAATTTCTCCAATCCATTTAGCTGGAGTTTTTTTTTTTTTTTTTTTTTTTTTTTTTGGATGATCGATTTTAGCTGGAGATTTTATGGAAGAGGTCGAGGGTTGGACTGTTGAAACACATTGAACAAGAGACATACATCCAGCAGGTGCTGCTCCCCACCAATAGATGGAGCCTTCCCGACAGTGATAGTGGTGTCTGCTCTTATCCACATCCCTACCATTACCCCGGGTCGTTCATCCAAAAAAAAAAAAAAAAAAAAAAAAAAAAAGACATACAGAGTGTTGATTGTCTCTCCTCCTACCGGTAGTACGTGGTCATCATCGGTATGTTGGTCCAACGGACCGGGCGGCATGTACCAGCCCCGGGGTTCAGTTGAGGCTGGAGGAGTTGGTTACCTTGGGGGCGGTTCCATTTTTTCACGGGATGGGGTCTAACGGAACGGGCGCCAGGTATCAGTCCTGGGGGCCTAACGGAAAAGAGGGTCTAACCGTCTAACGGAACGGGCTCCAGGTATCAGCCCTGGGTTGAGCGTACTACCGTAAGGGCTATTGCTAAACGGCGCTGTCTGTATCGTTCCATTTTTCACTGACGTCCCGAAATCGAGAAACGGAACTGCAGCGGTCCCACGACCACTGTGCCTGGTCCTACGACACTCGCTTGGCAATGGTCCCACAAGGAATGAATGGACCGCATGCACGCACCTACATAAACAGACAATCCTGCGCGTGCACAGAAGCAGATCAGCTTAGTGGAACGAGGAGGATACAGAGGGAGCCTACCACCTCCCTCCTCCTTCACGTGCTATAGGTACATACACGGTAATGGTAAGCACGTGGCTTCCGTCTGCTGACGAAGATCACATCTCCTCTGTCCGTCTTTCTCTTTCTCCGTGCGCTTCTGTGGGACTTGATCGCGATCCGGATCGCCATCCGGGTCTCGATTTTAATCTTACCATCGAGACATGGTCTGGAAAGAGAGAGATCGGGATCTGGGTCGCAGTTTCAGCCTCTCTGTGTCTTGACAATAGAGCAGACGGTGTCGGGATGAAGATTGGGATCGCGCTGGAGTGGATAAGATGATTCTGGACGATCCGAAAGAGTCTCAACGAGTCTAAATGATCTGAAGAAGAAAAGGAAGACGAGGAGGAGGAGGTGAAGCAAGCTATCAGGAAACCGAGGAGAGCGAAGCAAACGTCGAGACAGCAGGAAAACAGAGAGAGAGAGAGGAGGAGGAGGAGGAAGAGGGGGTATAGATGATACGAATGAGATGATGCTGGTGAATAGGACAGGCTGAGCAGGAAAACAGAGAGGGGAAGTGGGAGGTATAGATCCACAGTCGCAGCAGCTGGGGGAGGGGGAAAAGGAGGAGGAGGAGGAGGAGGAGGAAGTTGCTATAGAGCGGCAAACGGAAATCGTAAAGTGGAGAGTGGATAAGGTAACCGTTGCAAAAAGAAGAGTGTATGGTTAAGATAACAGGAAGAGGCAGAGAGGGAAGCGACCCGCCAGCAGCAGCAGGAGTAGGAGTAGGAGTAGGAGTAGGAGGAGGAGGAGGAGGAGGAGGAGGAGGAGCAGTAGCAGTAGGTAACCGTTGCAAAAAGAAGAGTATAAGGTTGAGATAACAGGAAGAGGGAGAGAGGGAAGCGACCCGCCGCCGCCGCCGCAGCAGCAGCAGCAGCAGCAGCAGGAGGAGGAGGAGGAGGAAGTGATTATAAGAGGCGCCGCAGCAGCAGCAGCAGCAGCAGCAGGAGGAGGAGGAGGAGGAGGCGGTGATTATAAGAGCAGGCAACGGAGAGTGGGAGGCAAACAGGAGGTGGGAGAGAGGGAAGAGAAGAGGCTCTTCCGTTCCGTTATCATCGTCCGCTGTTCATCACCATAGCCCGACTCTCGAGCTTGTCTGTGTCGTCATGCTGTCGGCTGTCAGCGATGGAGTGGGAGAGGGGGGCCATCGGGATCGGGACTGGCTGGACCCCGTGTTCTCAACCCGCTTTGTGCTCGCGGAATTGCCTAAGCTCCGCCTGCCGGCGGAAGGTACACCCCGAGATGGATCTTACCAGGTGATCCACGATGAGCTGCTGCTGGACTCGAACCCGCGTCTGAATCTGGCCTCGTTCGTGACCACGTGGATGGAGCCGGAGTGCGACAAGCTCATTCTCGAAAGCATCAACAAAAATTTCATCGACATGGAGACGTACCCGGTTGCCACTGAGCTGCAGGACCGCTGCGTTAACATGATCGCTCGTCTGTTTCATGCGCCAGTCACCGACCAGGTGCAGGCCGTTGGCACCAGCTGCATCGGGTCGTCTGAAGCCATTCTTCTGGCCGGTCTTGCCTTGAAGCGCAACTGGACGAACCGTCGCAGATCCAAGAATCTTCCAGCGGATAAGCCGAATTTCGTCACAGGATCTAACGTCCACGTGAGCTGGGAGAAGTTCGGTAATTACTTCGAGGTGGAGCATCGAGTGGTGCCCATCAGGGAGGGGTGTTACGTGATGGACCCGGAGAAGGCGGTGGAGATGGTCGACGAGAACACCATCTGCGTCGGGGCGGTGCTGGGCAGCACCTACACAGGAGAGTACGAGAATGTCCGCAAGCTCAACGATCTTTTGATGATCGAGAAGGAGAAGACGGGAGTCGAGGTCCCGATCCACGTGGATGCAGCAGGTGGGGGGTTCGTGGCCCCCTTCGTCTGTCCCGATCTGGAATGGGACTTCAGACTGCCCTTAGTCAAGAGCATCAACGTCAGCGGCCATAAGTATGGCCTGGTGTACCCGGGGGTAGGGTGGTTGGTTTTTAGGACGGAGGGGGAACTACCTCAGGAGCTGGTCTTCCACGTGAATTACCTGGGAATGGACCAGCCGACGTTCACGCTCAACTTCTCTAAGGGAGCATGCAACGTCATAGCTCAGTACTATCAGTTCCTGAGGCTGGGACACCGCGGCTTCTGTCGGGTAATGGAGAACTGCATGGACATTGCAGGGTATTTAGCAGACAGCCTGGAGGGCACGGGGTTATTTTACATATTATCTAAGAAAAAAAAGGACCTACCACTGGTCGCCTTCTCGTTGAAGGACCGCAGTCAGCTCGATGAGTACGACTTAGCAGATCGGTTGAGAAAGAGAGGGTGGTTGTTGCCGGCGTACACACTGCCGCCCAACCTCACCCACGTGTCGCTGATTCGAGCAGTGGTCAGGGAAGATTTCAGTCGCACACTAGCGGACAGATTGGTGCGCGACATCGTCCATACCGTCGACGACCTGAAGAAGAAGGCGGCGGCGAGGCCGCGCAAGGCAGCAGCAGAAGAAGCGCCATCGGCGAAGGTCGAAGCCCCTGCCGTCGCTGCCGATGCCCGCCCAGAGGAGGCGGCGGCTGATGTCTCAGGCCTGGAAACGCGGGAAACGGGGGAAACGCGGGAAACGGGGGAAACGGGGGGAAAGCGGGAACTGCGGGAACCGGGGAGAGCGGCGCGAATGTTGCGCGTTGGAGCGGAAGCACTCGGCAAATGGAAGCGGCACCATCCGCACAAGGATAATCCTATCTGCTAAGAAGATTACGTTGAGTAAATAGTGAGTGGATAAGATAAGATATATACCTAGTACGTCCATCGGCGGAGGTTCAAGCCGCTGCCGACCGATGCCTTGTCAATGGAAGAGTGGCGGATGCAACTGTCTGAGCACGTCAATCAGCAATGACTGATCCTCTCAGGAAGTGGAAGCGTCTCCGCCCGCACGCACAAGCACAAGGATATTCGCATCTGCTAAGAAGATTCCGTTGCATAATTAATGGATAAGATAAGATAAGATAAGACTACTACGACGTCCATCGGTCAAGTGTCAAGCCGCTGCCGACCGATGAGTCAGACTTGGAACAGTGGCTGGCTGTTGCAAGTTGGCTCAGCACCGGAGTCAGCAAAGCGTCACCATCCGCACGCAACAAGGATAATCCCATCTCTGCTGCTAAGAAGATTCTGATTCGGACTCGGATGCATAAATAGTGAATGGATAAGGTGAAGGCTACTACATCCGCACGCAACAAGGATAATCCTATCTGCTGCTAAGAATATTCTGATTCGGATGCACAAATAGTGAATGGATAAGATATAGACTACTAGATCCGCACGCAGCAAGGATAATCCTATCTGCTGCTAAGAAGATTCTGAATCGGATGCATAAATAGTGAATGGATAAGATATAGACTAGTAGATCCGCACGCAACAAGGATAATCCTATCTGCTGCTAAGAAGATCTAGATCCGCACGCAACAAGGATTATCCTATCTGCTGCTAAGAAGATTCTGATTCTGATTCGGATGCATGAATAGTGAATGGATAAGGTACAGACTACTAGATCTATGAGCGAAGGTCCAAGCCCCTGTGAAGAGAAGACAGGTCGTTGGAACTGTCTCACTCACCCGCTGCAATCATCAGCAAAAGCCGCAGAGGGCCTCCTCAAGTGGAAGGGTCATAATTCCATCTCCTGCTAAGATCATGACGATTACTTGAATTACATGCCAAAGATGACTACCGTCTTCCCCCGAACACAACGCACCCTGATTATGAATGTATACGACCTATTTTTCCGGTCCCATGCAGTCAAAATTAGGGTGCGTTGTGTTCGGGGGAGGAGGGTAATACGGGAACTGGCGATGGCTCGAGTCGCTGCCGATGATCGATGATGCCGTGGAAGAGCTCTGCTGCAAAACCGTCTGACCAGCGGAATCACCAAGCAGGCTTCCAGCAGATGCAGCCATGCACGACCAGCGGAATCACCAAGCAGGCTTCCAGCTGATGCAGGGATGGACGAGGACCGTGGAAGGAGGAAGAAGCGTCACAGACTCGCTGCTCTACCTTCTTCTTTAACCGAATACGACGTACGGTCAGTATTGCTGTATTTAGACGGAAAGATCGTCTAAATACATGCACATCTATAATGACCGTACTTTTGTGTTTGGGTGAAGAAGGTAGTCCGCGGATTGGCGGCGAAGGTTCAAGTCCCGCTGCCGATGATGCCTTGGAAGCTGGAAGAGGTGACTGCGAAACTGTCTCAGCACCGCAATCAGCAAGCAGGATACCCACCAAAAAAAAGAAAAAAGAAAAAAAAAAACTGAATGAGCAATNGACTGCGAAACTGTCTCAGCACCGCAATCAGCAAGCAGGATACCCACCAAAAAAAAGAAAAAAGAAAAAAAAAAACTGAATGAGCAATCAGGGAAGCAGGCTACCCCCCGTCTCCCCTTCCCCCACCCCCTCCCACCCAAAAAAAAAAAAAAAAAAAAAAAAAAAAAAAAAAAAAAAAAAAAAAAAAAAAAAAAAAAAAAAAAAAACGGGGAAGCAGCCCCCCCCCCTCCCCCCCCCCCCCCCCCCCCCCCCCCCAAAAAAAAAAAAAAAAAAAAAAAAAAAGCAGGCTGTTAACTGATGCCGAGGGCCGTGGAAGGTGGAAGAAACGTCACTTAGTATACTTCTACGCGAATTGGTTAAAGAGATTGTTGGGAGGAGGAGGGAGGAAGTGGCACCATCCGCAGAAAGATTCTCTCGTCTGCAAAGAAGATTCAGTTGGATAAGGGAATTAAAGGAATGGATAAGAAGGTGATCATCTGAATCGATGGACAAATGGAATAGTCAATGGGGCAGTAATGGGAAATAGATACACTCATGAAGGGTTGGGGGTTGGGTGGGCGCAGCCTGAGGCCTTGAGGTCCTTGGAAGGCCGAGGTGGTGTCACAATTAGCCATCAGCAACGGTTCAGCATGATGATGATAATGCGGCGGCGGTCCGCTAACCATGATAAGCTGATTCCGTTAAATAAATGGATAAGATGAGTAGTTTAAGGAGAGAGGTAAATGGGATATAAATAGATAAATTGAGAGGTGTGGATAACCCCGATAAGACAAATGCGGTCTGCTCTTCTTACAAGCAGCCCAGCAAGCAGAGATCCCGATCTCTTATAGGGACGATCGCCATTGTGTTAGGGGCACAGGGATGGATCCACCACAGATCAATAGCCGTAAATATATATACCAACCAGGGGAATAAATAGTCGTAAATATATACCAAACAGGGGAATAAATAGTCGCAAATATATACCACGCAGATAATTCGCTGTAAATACATAGCGAGCAGATGAATAGTTGAAAATATATATACTGTGGATCGTCGCTTTTTTATGTCTTGTCTTGGGTGGTCTTGTCCCGTTGTTTGGCCTTTGACGGAGCGGGCGGTGCTTGCATGTGGGACTTGTCATCTGGGATCTGT